TTTTTTTTTTTTTTTTTTTTTTTTTTTTTTTTGTCTTTTGTCTTTTTTCCGTGTCCGGCAACGGATCGCAACCCTCAGTGTTGCCCCTGTACCGGGCCGGGGACCGGATCGCAAGCGCCTCGCTCAGCCAGTGAGCGGGAGCCGGTCTGTATATGGGATCCGAACCCTCGGACGGGAGCGCCGCCGCGCTTCCCAAGCGGCGCACTATCCAGTGCGCCACCGGGCCGGCCCATGAGGTCATCATTATTAAGCCAGGAAATGGATACATGGGATTTCATTCTATTTTTGTACATCTTTGATTTTTTTTTTTAAGAACGAGTAAGTTTTAAAAGTGTAGGACATAAAAAGAGGCAATAAACAAAACTGGAACTTTAGTTTGGTATCATGAAACTACTAGTTTTGGTGTGCAAGCTTCTGAGGAGCTGGCAATGTCATACTCGGAGGCCACAGATGCCCACATCACTACAGTGCAAAATGTAACCAAGGCTGAAATCACACAACTAGGATAGCTAATGCACACTGAGCAGTGGCTATCTTTAACACACTGTTTTAAGTGCTCTGCATGAATTAATTCAATTAATTCTCATAATAACCTTCTGAAATGGGTATTATCATTATTATTGCCATTTTGGAAACTGAGACACAGGGAGGTTAAGTAATGTGTGGAAGGTCACACAGATAATAAGTGGTGGAGGCAAAATTAGATGCCAGTGAGGGTGTCATTTGTCCAGGATTTGGATGAAGGTAATAGGTGGAGTTGGGGGAGGAGAGGCAAGGGTATTCCAGGGCAAAGGTGCAATTTTGACAAAGATGGGGAAGTAATGAGGGATAGGATATATTCAGCAAGTGGCCCGGATAACTGGTCTAGAAGTCAGAGATTGGTGCAGCAGCAGCATGCTAAGATGGATTCACAGAAGAGGTGGCGCATGAAAGGTCTGGATAGGTTGCTAGGAGGAGAGATTTTGTATTTGGGCTAGAAACTGGGCCCAAGGGCATAGGTGAGGATCATTCTCCCATTGCACTTAAGGACTGTTGCTACCAGAGGCCCTAGGACCCTTGAGCCCAGCACTTGCCTTTGGCTGGCACAGGGTCCACTGTTGATCCAGCATGACCCTCTCACCAGCTGTGCAGCTACCAAGGCATACCATGGGTTCTCCAGGTGTTCTCTTCAAGTCACGGGCATCAAAGTTGATGCCCCATCTCTGTCTAAAGTCTTGGGCTCTTGAGAAATGCCAATTTCAGCATGCACCAAAACTCTAATAAAGAGCTGACTGACACGGCCCAGCAATGGGCTGGCTGCTATGGTTATTGCAGCCACGGGCCTGCCACCGAGGCCAGGCAACTGCTGCACAGGAAAAGTCAGCGGCTCTCCATCACAGGATTCTCATTGCTGCGGAAAATAGAAAACAGAATGCACTACAAGGGACACTCTCAACCAGCAAGTAAAATGTTCCCCTTGGTTGGGAAACCCTGTTCAATAGCAGCACATCTCTTCTGGGTTTTCCTGACACTTCAACCATCATATCATACCCTCTGTACTTACCTATCAACTTGGTTTCCATCAAGTGTACATTTCTTTAAGAACATATTTAAAACTCAAAGCCAAGGACTCTTTATGAAAACAAACTTCATACATATGCAGAATTGCTTTTTGGGAATACATATATTAGAATGTCTTGCCCTGTGCTTGATTTGATTTTGTAGGATGGTTCCTTTTTAAGCCGAGCAAGAGTATTTATTCTACTGTGAACCTTTTAATAACTACACGCAGTATCTGAGTTCCAGGGATATATTTGATACACGAGTGAGAAATTTGCAAAAGGAGTACAATATTCTCCTAGCTTGCAATCAGAGAAATACATTTGGCCAAACGAAATAATAATAATAATTGCAAAAAGGTAGAAAATAATATACATTTAATAAGCATCAATAACGTGCAAAACAGAATTAATTTGCTGTGAGGTATGAGTGTCACATTTTTTTTCTTGCTGGCATTCAATAAATATTGATTGGCTGGTTGATGGATGAGTGGCATGTCTTTTAAGCCATGCCAAGATGTTGAGTGGCCTTCACCTCTGTCCATTTTTGAGCTGCCTTCTGCTCACAAGGTTTGCAGCCCACATTTTGTCAATAATCTTGCAGCCTTGCTCAGTTTTAGGTCAATGTTTGGTGATGCATTGCAGATCTGTATTCCATTACTGTGCTGTTGTCCATAAAAATCCCTCTTGCATAGCATTTCTTTGACAAGCATTCACCACTGAAATGTCATCCCTGCCATCAACAATATTTATGAAGCATCAGAGGATGCAGCATGCTCTATCTATTAAGCCCTAAAAAGTAAGAGATTCTGGATTAGATGCAATTCCTGGCTGCAAAAAGTT